GGAGACAAAACACATAAACAAGCCATGTTCAACCAACAAGAAGCCACCCTTCCACCTTTTAATTAACAGGTGCAAAAGGGAGAATACTAGATGAGGGTCCCCTCTCATATACACACAGAGTCTTCCTTCTGTTCAGTTCAGTCGCTCAGTTGTGTCCAACTCTTTGCGACCCCATGGACTGCAGCATGCCAGGCCTCTCTGTCCATCACCAACTCCTGGAGTTTACCCAAACTCATGTCCATTGAGTCAGTGATGCCATCCAACCATCTCATCCTCTGTCGTCCCCTTCTCCTCCTGCCTTCAATCTTTCCCAGCATCAGGGTCTTTTCAAATGCATCAGCTTTTTGCATCAGGTGGCCAAAGTATTGGAGTCTTCCTTACCCTATCGGTTAACACATATGGGTTGGAGAAACAGCCTGTGGATGCCCCACTTTTATTTGTTAGAAATAAAAAACACTCAGTTACAATGAGTATTTCTGACTAGATTGGAAGAGAAGGTGACTCACATCACAGAGGAGGAAACAGTGCTGGTAATCCAGTCGTTAAGGCACTCCCTCACCTGCTCTACTGACCAATCTAGTTGATACTGCATTAAAACATCCTTACAACTTCGCCCAAAGCAGACACCATTTGTCACCCCACTGGCTACTTTGCAGTCCCTCCCCTAGACCTTCTGCTAGTTCAGAGGCTCTGGGTAAAGAGAGAAGAATGTACTGCTAGAGGACAGATCACACACAAGTCAACACATCAACCCTATATCCAGATGAGGAAGTCATAGGTCAGTTAACAAGTCATTAGCCAACACAGAAATAAGAGCAGAGTTCATTATTTCCAGTGAATCAAAAAAAAATTGTCACTAATTCAGAGAATCACAAAATCATTGCCCTAGATAAGACTTGGGGGGTGGGGGGAGTCATCTTGCCCTACCTGATCATTTTTCAGATGAAAACCCCAATGCTCAGAGACTAAACCCACTATGTCAGCACTACATGCCTGCTTATGTCCAATACAAATACACTGGATAAGAGATGGCGTCGTGTGCCTGGGCTCCTTCACGTAGGTATAGACTTTGCTAGATGCTGCATAAATGTCAGGCCAGCATTTCTCAGAAATGGAGGTCAAAGATGTTATCAGTGGTCAACGTACTAGTCTATCGTTGATTATAATACCAACATCCAATAATGGTCTGCATTTCAGCCAGAAGCTGGTCAAGTATGACAAATGTGCCCTGGTTGTACAAAAGGTCTCTGCAAAGCATTGCTCTGCTGTTTGTGACTTTTGAAAATCAAAAAATGACTCAACCAAAAAAAAAAAAAAAAAAAGATTTGATTGAATTACCTTGCAGAAACCACCTTTGAGACCAGTGAGCCTGCAGATGGTGCAAATGGGATCTCAGCTGGCCTAGAAGAAGGCCACAGCAGGCTTTCTCTAAAGAGAGCCTATGTCTGCAGCTATGGAGAAAGCAAACTCTAGAGTTCATAGTCCAGGACATGAGATCTGTCTGGCGGCTCTGCCACAGCTGGGGAAGGAGGCATTCTTTATAGGTGACGGGAAATAAGCTTACAACACAGGGCACCAAGAGTGGCTCCCAGTGAAAGCTGCTTGGTGGCTGTCACCCACAGGAACTGGCTTAACTGTCACAGCCTGCTTGGTTAGCATCATGTTTTCTTGGGAGGTTTTCATAGCTCTTTATTATTCCTTATTATTCCAGAAAAAAATTACTAACCAGGTCAGTACTTAGCCTCCCATCTAACCTGTGGAGAAATTAGGGTGAGCACTGGGGCTTTCCCAGCCCACTCCCAAGATGAGTCCCTTTGATACCTGGGACTCAAAGTCCTAGTATCTTAGGTTTCATCCTAGGTATCATCCTAGATTTGATACCTAAGATGCTGTAACCCAGCCTCCTGGCCACAGCAACGGTCCCCTAAATTGTGATGAAATGTGACAACCAAGGGGGAAGATTCAGATCTCAGAGGAATTCCTCTTTTGGTTTGGGATGGTTAATTTGGAGGCGAGGGAGGGGTTGTCTTTACCATTTCAGAAATGTAGATTTAGGCCTTAAATTCTATCATTGCAGAATGTTTTGCTTTTTGCTTTTTTTCCTTTTCAGACCAGATTCTGCATTAGGAACAATTTCCAAGCAGGACTTCAACAGGAGACTTAGCTCATTCAGGCATAACCTGTGTCATTTAATGAAATGCTGCTTCATTGTAGAAATAAAAGAGCTTGCAGCAGGTAACTGTGTCTACTACACAGAGGAGCTGTTCTGCCCAGAAAGACCTGGCCTGTTACCTATTATCAAGTGCTCAGAAGGGACAGAGCAGCTACTCAGGTCAAGTTTTGTAGAGGGAAAATAAGTGGGACATGCCCTATAAAATCAAATCCTTTATATTTGTATAATAGTTTAAAATGCATTTTTCTATAACTAATGTGATTTTTCACAACCACCCTTGTCTTACAGATGAAGTACCAGAGATTCTGGGGTGTTAAAACTTGCCCATGGGCCCCAAACTTCTGAAGTGTTCCACCCGACCACACTTCTAGCCCCCTGATCCTTCAAACAACGCTCTTACCTCCCCAGTCCCACTTTCCCAAGGAAAGAAGGAAGCCAGGCTTTCTCCATCTAGGACTTCTCTTTTGTCATGAGATAAATGCCTTCCCGCTCCTTTCCACAGCAAGCTGGTCCCCTGCCCTTCACTTTTGTAAAGTCCTAAATCATCATGAGCACGATCATCAGGGCCACAACTGCCTCCTTCCCAGCTCTCTCCCCAAACAGACATGATGCCTGTCTCCTACTGTGATAGATATTTGCAAAAGGGAGGGAGGGAGGGAGGATGGGAAGGAAGAAGGGAGGAAAGGAGGAAAGAAAGAAGAGAAGGAGAGAGGGGAGAAGGAACACAGGAAGAAAAGAAGGGAATCTTAGAAAATTCATCTTCTTACATTACTGCAGCAGCTAACTATATGTATTTTTAAGCACTAACTAGGTGGTTGTATGCTGCTAGGATATAAGAGACATGCCCATCAGGGGTCTCACAGTCAGGAAAATCACAGTATAGCAAAAAGAGAATCATAATGGATTCAAGAAAACACCAGTGTAGGGCAGGCTGTCAGAATAAGGAGATTAAGATACAGGGAGGGGATGGTGAGTCAGGAGAGGTGCCCAGAATTGGGGCCCGGGAGGAGCCAGAAGCTTCCTAGCTCTCCCTTAGGGAACAGAAGAAAGAAAGAAGGCTGTCAGGGAGTGCAAGCTGATGCAGGAGGAACTTGATGCCCAAGTTTTATATGATGTACATGACTTCCGTGCTCTACGTGAGACAGGGCAAGAAGACCACACGGTGACACTGGCTACTCTGTGGGCATGAAGTGACTCTGTGAGTCATTGCTAGAATGTCAAAGGGGTTTCTTAGTCAGGAAACAGTCCCTACCTTGGCAGACAGAAGTCTAAAGAGAAAAGAAGGCAGCACAGCGCCCCAGACCCCACCGGCCATGAAAGCACCCTCAGTCTCTGCACAGCCATGCCCTCTGCTCAGCACTTCACTCGGGATGGACCAACCCTCATGCACAGTGTGCCCACCATATCTCTTTAAAAAAATCACAGTAAAAATCTGTAGAATGTATTTGTCATATCCATATAAAAATATTGCCAAAACACTGATTCAAGCCACTCTACATAATTCCTATGGGGCAGAGTATGACATGCATAGCTTGACACTTAAAATGACATTCTTCTTTAAAGGCAAGGTGGTTTACATGAATTAGATTGAAATTGTTTGGAAGACAAGATTTCTGTCTTGCTGGACAAACATGTAGAAGCTGGGAGTTACCCAATATCTGGGGCCTCATTTTGCTCATGAATATAATAAGGCTTAAGAGAAGAGAGGAATCATCTCTATCCTTCCCTTTCAGCTGGGAGATCCCATGAATCTAATAGCTTTCTTTTCCTGAAGTAGAAAGCAACACTTAAAGGCAGGCAGTCTCCTCTTCAAGACCCTGGATATTGTGAGTGACCAGGAAAGTCACACTAGGCCCCTCCAGACTCTCCCAAATGGAAGCACATTCTTTCTCTTCCTGTATGGCTGAGATTAAGAAAAATGACTGGAGATTTGGAGATGCTACCACCAGCAGATTATTTTAGTAGCATTTGTCTTCCTGAAGTATTATCAAATCTGTCAAAAATAAAAAAAATCATCAAATTATTCTGTCACCAGATCTTCAAAATATTGGTTTAAAAAAAAAAAGCACCAATCTTTGAACTAGAAAAGCTAGACTTTAGTCCTGCCTTACCACTCCCTACTTAGGTGACTTGGTTCTCAGCACTTAAGGCCACAGAAGTCTCATTCACTTGAAGGCAATGGGGAGAGGCAGAGTGTCTTCCATGCCCAGCTCACAGGTTTGCCTGAAGGACCCAAGAGATAATTAGTTTAAAAGTGCTTCATAAAACATAATATGTTCTAAATACAAATGAAAGGGATCGTATTTTTTTTTTAACTGTGAAGCATTGTTCTGGTGTTTCCCAGGTGGTTGAGTGGTAAAGAATCAGCCCGCCAATGCAGGAAATGTGGGTTCAATCCCTGGGCCGGGAAGATCCCCTGGAAGAGGAAATAGCAACCCCCTCCAGTATTTTTGCCAGGATAATCCTGTGGACAGAGGAGCCTGGCAAGCTATAGTCCATGGGGTCACAAAGAGTCAGACACGACTTAGTGAGGACCAATGCACACGGATCCAGGGATTGGAGGAAGGTGGATCTTTAAGCACACTAATAGCCTAACCAGGGGTTACAAACGTCAGTCTAAACGTGAATGCCTTTCGCTGAAGAAGCAGTGTTTTTATTATAATCATGACTGAGAGGACAGAGAGAATTCAGTGTTAACAATAAGAAGAAAACTCATCAGAGGGAGCTCCACCCTGTCAAGATTATTCAACCTGTGACAACACAGGCAACCCGACACCTGGAGCACCTCCCACCTGAAAACAACGCGGGTGACAGTGGCATAACTCACCCTTCCCTTGGTATCGAGCGTAGCTGCCACTGAGGACACCACCCTCATCCAGCTAATGACAGTACCAACGCAGGCCAGCGTCACCTCCCCGGGAAACGCAGTCCCGGGACAGGGACTCGTGACGCCACGTGAACGTCCACCTAAGCAGCTTGGCCGGCCACGCAGACCTCCAGAAGAGCTGACCTTCCACAGCTCTTTGCTCTCACAGGCCACACAGGAGCCGTTCCAGGCAGGAAGGAACACCTGTCTCAACCGGGCTAACAGAATCATAACAAGTAGTGTGAAGAGTCACCAGTCAAAAGCAACACTGGACTGGGTTCCTCTTACAGGGCAGAACTTTTCCTAAAAATCCTGAAGTTCAGATGTTTACAAGCAATGAGGCTCATGGATCACTTGGGTTTTATTTTTGGTTTTGTTTTCATTAGACGCAATACTGAGCTGAGCCCTGAGCCTTGCAAGGAGTTGCACAATCTCAGCTTTTAGAGATTGTGTTTCATGGTCACGAAAAAAAAAAATAATAATTGGATTTAATAGGTTTTCACAATCATATTATCTACTTAACCTTCCAAGATCCTTACTCACTTAATTGCAAGTCCCAAGGAAAGATCATAGGGTAGGGGCCACATGAGGCAGGCACAGCGATAAAAAATAGATTCTTCACAACTGATGCAAAATCTAAATATAATAGCAAAAGCCATTTCAAGAGCTCTGGTTGAAGCCCCTTAGATTGGAAATAATTGCCCTCCTTCAATAATTGTTTCCAGTACAAAATGGATACTTACATGTTCTATGTTTGTGTATTTCCCCAAGAATATATATTTGCATGTGCCTAATAGAGATTATATGGGTCTAAAGTGACAAGATATAAGCTTTAAGCTGTGGGTGGCAAGCTCTTGTTCTGTTACACCATAACTTTGTACAAATGCTCTCGTCCCCTTATACAAGACTAAGTACCACTGGGAATTTTGAGGTCCTTTAGAATACTGTGCCTGTATCAGAGTGGAGAGCAGACAGAACACATCACATGCACTTCTGTGATGTACACAGATAAGGTATATCACATGTACTGGATAAAGATGCTTTTGTCGGAAGTGAATTTCTGTGGGCAGTAAACTTCTGTGTTAGCTCTGGAGAACCACAACAGGTCATTCAGGTTGTAAGAAGCCTTAATTATCCTTTCTACAAATGAGAGCACTCTTCAATCTCCAAAAGATATTTTCCAACCTGACACTGTCTAAAGGAAAATTTTGAATGAAAGATTTACCCTAAATCTGGTTCTTGTTCTCTCATTTACTTCTGTGGGATTAAGGCAAAACAAAAGCCATGTTTTTTACCCTCTCTACAGAGCATCCTATAATTGGATTCCTTGTTCCTGTTCTGAGCCAAGGCATTGGATTCGTGTTGCTTCCTGCCAAGTTTTTTCTTCAAGCTGTAAGGTCCTTGTGTGCGTTCATTCCCAGTATTCCTGGGGACGCCATCAAGCCAGGCTCAGGCTGTCCTGCATCCTCCCACAGAAGACGATGGTTTTATTGCTGAGAAAGGTGCTCGGCATGAGGATCAAGTCCAAAGCATTCACAATCCAACTGAATGGCTGTCCCAGGAGGGTGGAAGCCGAAATCTCTGGTGATAGCAGAGTTAATGGCTACAAGTGAGACTTCCTGCTGACGGAGGACCATCGCACCAGAGTGTTGCAAACCCTGGTCGGCTCTCTCGGCTCCAAACTGATCTACAAACCAGAGCTAGGACAGACTGTCCTGATCTAGGCCTGGCAGCTTTTCCCAAGTCTGCTTGGAACAACAAGCAGAGGGCCATCAGCCCTGGGTTCCTCTACAGTGACTGCCTGCAGTAGCTGAATGAAGCCAGGAAAGACCTGCCTTCTTTAAAAACTATTTGTAATTCTTTATATAAGGTGCAATAGAACAAAGAAAAATCAGATGCTCCTGATAAACCATGGAGCATATTAATTTTTGGAGGTATATAAAAAGGCAGGAGCCAGGGTTGTTACAAAGTTAAAACTTCATTTACTCTGTACAGTGTTAAAAATCCATTTTACATTAGATAATGCCTTAATGAGGTGGCCAATCACTTTCACTTAATGAGGTGGCCAATACAAAAAAGATTTGGTTAAATTATTATTCTGGTTTTCAAAACAATGTCTTCAGGGAGGTTGGTGTTTGGTGACTTGGTTGCCCTAACTGAGCACCCTACACCCGTGGTAACCAGTGGCTCCAGGCAGCCATAGTCGGCTCCTATCTTCGTCTACCCGCTGTGCAGCCCCTCTCCCCACCGCCAGCCCGTGCATGACCAACACTAGCAAAGCTCACGTTTTCATCTCCTTTCCAAAAGCAACCCACTCTCCTCAGTGATGCTCTTGTCTCCCAGAACATCATTTTCAGGTTATCACTCTTGACCCCAAGTTTGCCATGGGTATCCCATATGCATCAGTATCCCAATAAGAGAGCCACAACTCAGAGATGTCATCAAACTGCCTGCTGCAGTGATAACACAGGCTGAGCCTGGCAGGCACACTCTATGGAGGCCCCGAGCCTCAGCGGGGTTCCCAAAACTACTCCATCCCCTATAGTCACCTCCTGGAGAGAACATTCCCCATCTCTGAACACACGCCTTCATTCACATCCACATGAACTGTTCTGGAACCATTTGCTTTTGCTTTATACCTCCCCCAGCAATCACCTAAGCAGGGCAGAAAACTCCTTCTTAAATAACATTGGCCTTTGTTCAAAACCATCTACTGAGAACCTACTCTGTAAAGCACTGTGCTAGGTGCGAAGGATACAGAGATGAAAAGACAGGTAGACCAAAGTGCTGGTGGGTGTTAACAATGGTCATTAAGGCCATCCTAGATCCTTTGTTCTCACTCCATGATCACTAGTAAACCCTGTGTTTTATAGAAGCCTTAAAACACTTTGACATACCTGGTCTCATTTGATCTTCACAACAATCTTGTTGGATAGGGATTGTTCATCTTGTAGATGAAGAAATTGAAGCTCAGAGGTGCTGAGTGATTTAACCTCAAGTCACATAGTAGTGGCAGAATCAGGAATCAAACTTAAAACTTCTGACTATAAGTCTACTACTTGCTCCATACATCACCCAGATTACTGAGGATCAAGGTGGGAAGAAGTATTGAATATTTTTCCAAGAAACTTTCTGGTGGTTACAAAATCACAAACAAGCCTTGAACACCTACCATGTGCAAAACCTGCCCTTGTCTCTGGGAAGGAGATGTAGCAATACAAATATGACTGCAAAATTGCCCTGACTCAAAGGAGTTCAGGCAGGGAAGAAAAGTCACTGAAAGTGAACTAATTCAAGGAAGTTGATGAATCTGGAGAAAGAGAAAGAGAAAGTGCTAGTGGGGTTTGGAACCTAAAGGATCAAGAGAGAACTTAGGCATCGCGTTCAGAGGGGGCTATCTTTATACACCCTCTCAATTACTCTTGAGTCAAGAAACAAGGAATAGCAACATGGTTTTCCATGCAGACTTTTCTACAGTAGAGAAACTGTGCTGCCCAGGTGGTACAAGTATTCTTGTGTGTGTGTGTGTGTGTGTGGCATATATATATTTTTTAAACTTTTTATACATTTTTAAAGGTTATATTCCATTTACAGTTATTACAAAATATTGGCTATATTCCATGTTGTACAATAGATCCTCGTAGCCTATCTGACACCCAATAGTTTGTACCTCCTACTCCACCCCATATATTGCCCCTCCCTTCCCCAACTGGTAACCTCTTAGTTCTTTATCTGTGAGACTGCTTCTTTCTTTCTTATATTCACTAGTTTCTTTATTTTTTAGACTCCACATATAAGTGATAGCATGTAGTGTTCTGACAAAAGTATTGCTGATGCCTGAGAATCATCTCCTAAATTATAAATTGGAAGAGTATTTAAATAACAATCCAAAAAAATCTCTTAGAATTTGAGAACTGCATGTGAGTTCTTTATAAACCTGAAAAAAAAAAAAAAACCTGAAAACTTTCCAAGAAAGTTAAATGATAAAGTTAAATGTTTTAGGCTATAAAGCTAAAAAAAAAAAAAAAAAGGAGGCTTTGGACCTATTACAATTCTGTGAAATTTTGTCTAGAATGAGCACCTGGCCTGTTTTTAGCATCTATTTAGCTAAATATCACCATAGTATGGCTAGACAAATTGAACTACTACCATTCCTCCAAGAGGATGAGGAAAAATCCAGGGAGTTGGCAGCTAAGACAGTGCTACTCATAGTCAAAAGCAGCAATTCTGTTAATTAAAGGGGATCGGGACTACTGTGTCAAGTACTCCTTAACACAGTAATGCCAGGAAAGCTGTTGTGCAAGGGGGAGGGACAAACTCTGTTTTCTTTGTGTGGATGAGACTGGATGGTGCTGCCTTCGCAGATCATTGCTTCCTTTGTGCAGGGGTTCTACTCCTGTGAAAACTCAGTCATGAAGACCACTTGAAAGACCCAACAGGAATTTGGGTGCATCCCACCAATCCCACTCTCTTGTCCGGTCCACCCTGACCTCTCCAGGGTGCAGACCCCAGATAAGAAACCACCATTGGCATCTGGCACATGCTGCATGCAACAGACTAGAAAGGCATCTAGACATCTGGAGACAGATGTTCTACTTCCTGAGGAAGAGGTAAGAACCTAGATCCTGGGAGACTTGAGAGAGGGAACTGAAGATGGATAAAGCAGACTAAGGAGAGAGGTGGGAGGGGCAGGATATATGTGACAGCTTCTTTTCATAGACTCCTCACCCTCATGAGGTGGAAAGAGCTGAATTCCTGATCCTGATATACTACCCTGCTCTATGAGTTCTCTTTGAAAGAAGTATGCTTCCCTGCTTCCCTGTGCAGAGATGTAAAAGGGAGTCACCTTCCTTTGTGGGTTACCAGCAGTATCATCAATGGCTATTGACAGTCTTTTTTTTAAGCTATCTCAAATTCATCTAATTTTTTTTTTTTGCTTGAGTTAACCATAGTTAATTTCTATTGCTTGCGGCTAAAGCATCCTAGCTACTCCCTCCCTAATCTTGCCAATATTGCACTTCTCAACCTACCTAGATTAGCATCTACACTCTCCCCACCCTCTTGTTACAATGAAAGAAGTGTTCCTTCTCCTGTGGATAAACCATCTCTTCATTGAGTTCTAGATCCACCTCTTTCCAGAAATTCTAGGACTCTATTTCTTAGGCTATTTTCTCGTCTGCATTACTAGTCTCTCCTTGCCTACTGGATCATTCTAAGCCTATGAACAGAGT